GTTCATGGTGGATAACGAAGCCATCTATGACATCTGTCGGCGCAACCTGGATATTGAGCGTCCCACCTACACCAACCTCAATCGTCTGATCGGGCAGATTGTGTCATCCATCACTGCCTCCCTGAGGTTTGATGGGGCCCTGAATGTGGACCTAACAGAATTCCAGACCAACCTGGTGCCCTACCCTCGCATCCACTTCCCCCTGGCCACCTACGCCCCGGTCATCTCGGCTGAGAAGGCGTACCATGAGCAGCTGTCAGTGGCAGAGATCACCAATGCTTGCTTCGAGCCAGCCAATCAGATGGTCAAGTGTGACCCTCGCCATGGCAAGTACATGGCCTGCTGCATGTTGTACAGGGGGGATGTGGTCCCGAAAGATGTCAACGCGGCCATTGCTACCATCAAGACCAAGCGCACTATCCAGTTTGTGGATTGGTGCCCAACTGGATTTAAGGTAGGGCTGGGTTCTGTGACAGTTGTATCTGCAGGGACGCAGTAGCTCCTGTCTTAGGCCATAGCTTTGGGTAAGAAGCCACCTTTCCATGTCAGGCTCCAATGAAAGCGTGTGTAGTAATTAAGTTGCTAAGTGACTTAACACTTTACGGTTTTACCGTATGTTGTAGTGGAAAATGAATTTTTGAGAAAGCAAGGGCTTTCCAAGGGAGGGAGTCCGTTGGCTGGGGTTGGGAATGCTGTCCCTCGCCAGGTTTCCTCCCAGATGAACCCTGGTTCTGCTGTAACAAGCTGACTTTGGGGAAGTACACGTTAGGGCCTAGGTGTTCCCACAGGGAGAGTCTGCTGACACCATGGACCCTTAGTCTCTGCCCGAAGTTCCTTTTGTCAGCATCTTACGGTTTATTAAGTCTTTAGCTTAGCATTCGTAGTGGCAAATGCCTATGATCCCAGCACTAGAGAGAGTTCAAGGCCATCCTTGGCCACATAGTGAGTTTGAAGCCAGCTTGGACTTTGGGAATAATTTTTATAACCTTTAAATTATAAAAAAGTAGCAAAATTTATTAAAACTATGAAAAGCTGACCACTTTTGTGATGGATAACAAACCTGAATCTGTACATGCCCAAAGCTTTCTTCTGTTCCATAAAACAAGAGGCAGTCTTTGCATACTCAGATATTGTATGCCTCTTATATGATGATGTTGGGGGACAGGCCAGCAGAGAGGAGCAAATGATAGGCGTTCCATCTTAAAGCGGGACTGTCCTTGTTGACAAGGGGAGAAGCCACGCGTCTGTCCTCGTGTTCCCAGCTCTAGCCTGACCGTTGTTAGCTGCTGCTCGCAGTCTGCTGTGCATCAGTGTGTGACAAGGTTACATTCCTAGGGTTTATCGCCCACAGCTCCAAGTTCTCCTTGCTGGAGTTCACTGCTACACGGAAGTTTTCTTCACGTTAATACAAAGATTTCAGATTGGTTTCCTTTTGACTGAGCATACAATAAATGTTGGGTAGGATTCTCATTAGGCCTTTGATGTACTGTGTATTGTTTCCAGTTTGGCCTTAGCAGTTCAAGTAATTACTTTAAACCGTTATGCATGTTACTTTTGTAGGTGATTATTCATTCCCAGAAGTAGGAGTGTTTAGCCTGGCCCTACCGTTCCCAATTTAGAGTAAGCCATCATTTCTTAAGTCTGTGTAAACTTTTTCTCCTTCTCTCCCAGGTGGGTATTAACTACCAACCTCCCACCGTGGTCCCTGGCGGGGACCTGGCCAAGGTGCAGAGGGCCGTGTGCATGCTGAGCAACACCACAGCCATCGCAGAGGCCTGGGCCCGCCTGGACCACAAGTTTGACCTCATGTACGCCAAGCGGGCCTTTGTGCACTGGTATGTGGGAGAAGGCATGGAGGAGGGGGAGTTCTCAGAAGCTCGGGAGGACCTGGCAGCACTGGAGAAGGATTATGAAGAAGTGGGCGTGGATTCTGTGGAAGCAGAGGCAGAGGAAGGGGAGGAATACTGAGGATGTGGGTCTGGCTGGCAGCCATCCATTTATATCTTCCCCATTGAAACTAAAAGATATATTTACTCATTAAATTTTCTGTGTTGAGGCATTTCCTTCCCTGTGTGGTGTACTTTCTAACAAAATTCCTTTCTAGATACTTGCCTTTCCCAAGTAAATTTCTCTGGGGAAAATATAGTAGTGTTCTTCCTAAGAAGTGATAAACATATCTGTCTGTCCTGTGATGTTCTTTAAGGACATTAGGGTTATGTGTTTTGTTTTTAAAGTACTGTTTGGATGGCACAGAAATGGACCCTGCCAAGTTTCATACACACACACACACACACACACACACACACACACACACGGCTATTACATCACAAATCATGAAATTCTTGAGAATAGTGGAGAAAATAGAATTGAAGTTCAAAAACAAATGAAAACTAATGATTTGTAAGCAGGCAGCCAGTCTTAGGAAGTATAAGAGGCTGTGAGTAGAGTAAAACTGGGGCCATCATAAGGAGAGCCGGAAATGAGTGTGCTAGTGGCTGGTTTGTTCTTCTAGAACGTGGTGGATTGAGTGTCCATATTGAGTGGAGAACAGGATGGGTGGAGGAGGAAGAATGGGAAAAAGGTGGGTACCCATGCAGGTGACAGTCCTGAGGGGAGTCAGGTATAGAGGCAACACAGAAACGCCCACCACTGTGGAACCTGACTAGAACAGAGTGAAGTCTTCACAATAATACAAGGGCTTGCAGAACCAACATCCTTCTGGCCTAGAGATTCAGTCAGGCTCTTCTGGAGCCTGCAGCACAGAGGCCCTTTGGGACCCTTACAGCAGCTGCTTCCCCTGTTAGTTCACAAGTGGCAACCTCTCCTTCCAGGTGGCTGTTGAGTTACACGTAGTAGCTTAACAAAGAGACTCAACTTGGAGATAAATCCCAATAAGTATTATCATAACTTAGGAAGCATTACTTTCCAGACACCTGACCTTAACAAGAGTTGTGTGTCTGCATAATAGAGATAATTTTTAGGGGGTTTTCGAGGCAGGGTTTCTCTGTGGCTTTGGAGGGTGTCCTGGAACTCGCTCTGTAGACCAGGCTGATCTTGAACTCACAGAGATCCACCTGCCTCTGCCTCCCAAGTGCTGGGATTAAAGGTGTGCACCACCATTGCCCAGCAGAATAGAGGTAATTCGTGGAGTAATTAATGGTGAAAGTGTGCAGAAGCCACTCTATGGAGCATTACAATAATGTAATTTGCTTCTTGGTTTGCTGTTGAATAATAGGGTTTTTTATTGCTTGTTTGTTTCATTTTATTTGCATAGAACTTTAGAAACTGTGATGGTGCTTTTAATGTAGTGAATTTGACTTTTATTGAAGAGGGTCCCGGGTTCTAGATGTGGCTTGAGCTAACAGCTGTGACATTCCACAAAATACCTCAGGCTTTCTGTTCTACAGACAGGGAAAGTAACTTTCCTGATGTTGCCACAAGACACCTGGGAAGAAAGTTGAGGAAAGAAGGGTTTGTTGAAATTCACAGTTCCAGCCACAGCCCTCCACACTGGAGGTGTCATAGTGGCAGGCTGGTGCTGAGCTCCTTTTTAAAAGTTCTTAAAGAATTACTTTTAACCATAGGTATAAATGTGTATCCGTGTGAGTACATGTGCATATGTATGGGTGCCCAAGGAGGCCAGAAGGCATCAGATGCCCTGGAGTTGTTACAGGCTGTGAGCTGCTTGACATGAGCAACGGGAACCAAACTCGGGTCCACTGGAAGAGCAGGACACTCTGAGCAAAGCTCCTCTCTTCTCCTTGCCATTCAGCCAGGGGTCCCAGATGATAATGATGCTGTCCACATTTAAGGTGGGCCTTTCCACCTCAAACCAATCACGATGTCCCTCACAGACATGCCCAGAGATGTGTTTCCATGTGGTTATAGGTTCAGTCAAGGTGACAGATGGCCCTTCATAAACCCATGACACAAAAAGTCCCTGATATACTACTTCTGCGTCAGCTAGAGAAAGGGAGGTCAAAGCGTCCTTTGCTAAGGTACCTTCAGAATTCTTTCTAAGACTTTGGTGCCTGGTCACCTCTTTTCATCGGGTTTTAAACCAGTATGATTTTCCCCACCATGACAGTGTTCTTCACATCAACAAAAGCACAAATCCAGAAACTCAGAGACAACAGTGAATGTCACTTCAGAATGTAATTATTACTGCTATCATTAGTTTAGCTAAAAATCCATTAGGCCGATCTTTATTACAGATGCATTTCTAAGGAGCTGGAGAGTTGCCCCAGCAGTTGGAGCACTGACTGCTCTTGTAGAGGATCCAGTTCAATTCCCAGCACCCACAAGGCGGCTCACAGTCACCCGTAGTTCCAGCTCAGGGGGTCTAATGCCACCTTCTCCTTGGGCACAAGGCATGCACACGGTACATATTCACAGATGTAGGCAAATGCACACACACACAAATATTAAATCTTTAAAAACTGGTTTTGATATGAAGAAACACCAGGGTGTCTTTTATTCATGAATACTTGTATTTTTATACTACTTTTCCAAAGACTTAATGTTTTATTAAAAAGGGTAAATTTGGCATATATGTCCACCTGACCAGTTGTGTAATAGACTAGCAAAGAATGTCTGGACGAGTAGGATGTAGTTGCTTGGTAGAGTGCTTCTCTAGCACACATGAGGCCCTGGACATGTGATGGTGCACGTGTGATCCTAGAACCCAGGATGTAGAGACAGACCCTGGGCTTCATAGAAAGCCTGAGGCCAGCCTGGATTAGAGGCCCAAAAATAAAGGAATGAAGCAGAATTCAGAATGAAGGGGCTGGAGCAATGGCTCAATGGTTAAGAGCACTGCTACTCTTCCAGAGGACCCGGGTTCAAGTCCCATCGCATGGCAGCTCACAACTGTCTAACTCCTGTTCCAGGGGACCTGACACCCTCAAACAGACGTACATGCAGCCAAAACACCAATGCTCATAAAAGTAATTAAGAAATAAAGATGCCTATGCTTTTAAAAAAAGAAAAATGGCCACACCTTTAATCCCAGCACTCAGGAGACAGAGGCAGGAGGAACCCTGTGAGTTCTAGGCCAGCCTGGTCTACAAAGCATGTTATCTTTTAAGAGCATCTTATTTTCATGAGAATTTTCCTGGCTCTAAAAGCAGTCACCCTTCTTAGCCAGGACAGCCGGCCAGCTAACCCCAATTTCTTTTAGCTGTGGTTAGGGGTGAGACACATCCTACAAAGACCACAGAAAGTGGTCAGAGGTCCTGTGGGCATGATGTCGCTTGCTCACCAGGAAAGCTGTTTCATGTATCCCAGAAAGCCGCATTTCCTGGCTGTTGGTGAGCACCCTGTCCTAAGTGTGGATGACCGCCCCACACATCTGACCATTGCTGAGTGAGTGATGGCAGTAGCCATGACAACTGACGACTTTACTCAGGTATTATCCTTGGAAACAAGGTAATCTATAAATTCAGGGGGATTTTGCTGGCTAGATATTTCTAAATATATTTGCCACCTGAGGAGACTAACAGGTTTGTTTCAGAAGAAATCCTGCAAGCAGAGATATACAGCATTTTTCAATTGGGTAGCAGCTGATTTTCCCCAGGTAGTTCGGTCTCACGTTTAGAAAAATAACTCTTGAAAGCAGTGATACTCACCACTATACCACCAATGCGGGGGGCCCCGATGCAGATGACAAGGGTGTGGCTTGGGCAGTTTGTGGGGCCACTGGCAATGGGACCAGGATCTATCCCTAGTGTTTTAACTGGCGTTTTGGAGCCCATTTCCTTGGAGAGACACCTTGCACAGCCTAGACACGGGGAGTAGGGGTAGTTGGTGCTGCCTTAATGTGGTGATGGCACAGACTACATTGACCCCACAGGAGGCCTTGCCCTCACCGAGGAGCCCATAGGCATGCGGTAGGGGGAGCGGGAGGAAGGAAGGGACAGAGAACTGGGATTTAAAAAGTTAGGGGGGAAATGGCTCTTGAAGAACCCCTTCTTTTACAACATTTTATAGCCAATTCGCTTGTTAACAAGTTCATTCTTTTAGTAGTTACAACATTATCTGATGCAATTCTATCTCAGAGATTGTCCAGTTTTCATTATTAGTTGATTTTTGAATGCTAAGGACTGAACTTAGACCTTCACACATGCTAGTCAAGTACTTGTCAACTCCATTATTATATCCTTGGCTCTGATTAGTTTCCTAGTTTTTAGTTTGTGTGTTTTGTTTTGTCTTTTAAACATGATCTCACTATGTAGCCCAGGCCAATCTCAAGATGACAGAGATTCTCCTGCCTCTGCCTCCTGAGCACTGGGATTGGAGTGCACCACCAGGACTGGCTTGTTGTAGACAGGGTTTCTCTGTGTAGCCCTGGCTGCCCTGAAGCTTGCCCTGTACACCAGGCTGACCTCATACTCACAGAGATCCTCCTGCCTCTGCCTCCTGAGTGCTGGGATTAAAGATGTGCATCACCACTGCCCAGTTTAGATTTTTTAACCTCCATTTCATTGCCTGATAGCCCACAAACGTCTATAGCTTACAGTTTTGGGTTCCACACTTCTTACAAGGTTGAGCCAACATCACACAGTGAATGACAATAGCAGCACACTTTGTTACTTCTGCATCCCCGGGCTGTAATTAAGAATAAGCATGGAGCGCTGAGACGGCCTCACATAGAGGACTAGTGACTAACAACATTGCAAAGAGGATTAAAACTGTAAATAACTGCTCCATTGTCCAAATGCCTGAGCATTCCCTGGGTACAAAGACGCAGCAGGATCAAGTAGGGGACCCATGAGAAGGGGGTCCAGATTTCCATTCAGTAATAAACCAAAAATAACATAATCTGCTAGCCTCATTATGGTTAGAACGAGACACCAGATGGGCCGTGGAAACCTAAGTTGTTGGGGATACTCCCTGGAGACTTCGCTGTGGACTCATCCCTAAGGTGATACACACAGACCCAGCTTGGTAGGATCACCGTGGGCACCTCCCCTGGAGATGAGGCGGTTGTGAGCTGTCGGGATCCAAACAGGTTCTCTGGAAGGGTGGTTAGTGCCCTTACCCACTGAGCTGTCCTCCCCACATACGGAGTCCACACACAGCTCACGCCACTCTTCATCTAGAACGTGAAGACCAGATGCTCCGAGGAGAACCAGGCCTGGCAAGATGGCCCATCAGGTGGGGCTCTTGCCACAGAGCCTTAAGGCTCGAGTTTGGCTCCCAGGACCTACAGGACAGGAGATAATTTATTCCCAGACGTTGTCCTCCTGAGTTCCACGGTGGCACATTCTGCTCCTACCCCTGCACACAGAATAAATGAATAAAGGTCTTTAATAAAAAAAGATTCCACATCAACTATCTCTCACCTCTTGATATCAAAACAAAGATAAAATTTCACATTTGAGACATTGTTGATTAGTTAGGCTTTTCTCTCACAGTTCCTGAGTGAGAGGCCCATAAAGGATCTTTTGTCTGTTCCCAAACCATTCAGACTGTTGAACAGCCAGGAGTGCGCGGCCGCAGAACCTGCTTGATCTGTGGTGGGGGCAGAGGGCTTTCACTGAAACCGGGGTTGGTCAGGACCCTTAAGTCCTGCCTGCCCTCCTACTCCATGGCTCTAGGTGGACCCCACATCCGCAACACCAGCTGGGGACCGACACGTGAGCCTGTGGGCACATTTCACACCCAACCCTTAGCCGTGAGTTGAGGATGGGTGTAGAATAGCGTTCAGCACAAGGGAAAGAAATCAGAAGGCACGCACTATTTCTTCCCCTTGTCTTTCTGCAAGTGTTGTTGTAGTTCCGGCTGAGATGGCCTGTAAACCGGGTGCAGGAGGCGTATCTACCTAGACGTGAAAGGTCAGGCTAAATGGAGTCCACTGATCTTTACTTCACACACAGACAGTGGCAAGGCCTGAGAATCGCTGTGGCTCCTCCCCTGTGCCCTCCCCCACGACGTTCCTCACCCTCACCTGTGTCCAGCTCCTGGGCAACCAAAGTTAGAATGAGGCAAACAAGACTGACAATTTATACTAATTAGCACCTGATGTGCAGCTGAAGACACAGCTAAAGCCTCCTCCCGACTGTTACCCTCCCACCTGTGAGAGACCTGCCTGGCAGGTGCTGAGTCTCTCTCTGTCTCTGTCTCTGTCTCTCTTCCTCCCTCCCTCTCTCTCTCTCTCTCTCTGTCTCCTCTCTCTCTCTCTCTGTCTCTCTCTCTCTGTCTCTCTCTCTGTCTCCTCTCTGTCTCCCTCTCTCCCTCCCTCCCTCCCTCTCTCTCACACACACACCATTCTAGCAGGTGTTGAGTTACATGTATGTGCGCGCGCACACACACACACACACACACACACACACACACACATGTCCACACAGCCTCTGCTCTCCTATGAGGGGAAGCCATAAACCCCACCATTTCTAAAAGCACTCTACGAATTCCACATTTTTAGAAAACTACTGCCCTCGAACGCCCTCTTCTTTGATTTCTCTCTCCACAAACACAAACTGAGGTGCCTACATTTTGTACTCATACTGGCTCAGCAGTTCTGCTTCAGATCAGATGTTTTCAAATGAAGAGTTGCAAGGGTTATGTCCAGGGGAGAGGCAAAGACGGGAAGAGAAAGCCTCGCTTCATCAGAGACTCCCAGGTGAGATCAGGTACTACATGCAGCCTCTTGTTTATCCAGCATGAGTCCAGTGTGGCTCAGGGACACTTTCTGATGTACAAATCCCTCTGATAAGGTTGGCTTTAAGGTCATGAGAACCAAGTCAGCATGCTGACTCTTTGATCTGTGTACTGCAGTTCCTAGAAAAGTTAGTTCCTTGTCAGGTGGAGAGCCAGGAGCCCAAAAGTAACACGTCAATCATCACAGAATGGCAGCATTCTGCTCTCTGTCACAGAGGTGAATCTATTTCTTATTCTGGTTCCATTTAAAATGTGCAGCCATAATTCAGATCCCTAAAGAGAGAAAAATTCAAGTGCATCCGGTCTAAGCCAGACCTGTCGTCCGTACAGGAGCACTTCAGAGGCTTCGGGGTCCCCGAGACAGTGGCTATCACATCTCCTAGTAACTGTGGTTTGGCTGCAGGGTAGAAGGCACGAACCACTCTGGAAACCCCGTTTGATAGAGACAGCCTCTCTGACCTTGTAGCTCTCAGATGCTTGCTTGGTCTGGGACCCCCAATGCAGACCAGGCTGGCCAAACTCAGACACTCCCCTCCTGGACACCTGGACACCCAGACACCCAGACACTTGGCCACCCAGCCACCCGGACACTCAGACACCCGGACACCCAGACACCCAGTCACCTGGACACGAAGCCACCCAGATCACCCGGACACCCAGACACCCGGACACCCAGACACCCGGACACCCAGACACCCACAAAGTAAGAAGGAAAGTAAGATACACAGAAGTAAGAAACATAAAAGCCCAGAAAGAAAAGGTAGATGGGATAATTTAACAATAAGAAAGTCGGGCTTGAAGCAAGCCAAGCTAAGGCCAGGCATTCGTAGGCAGAATAAGCCTCTAAGCCTCTGCGTGTGAGTTCTGTGGGAGCTGGGTGTCAGGTCCCTCAAAAAGACCTAAAGAGCAAACAGCCAAAAGAGTAAAAAACCCTGAGTATAGCAAGCCCCAATGAAATGCTTTCCTTTGTAAGAGCTGCTGTACCATGGTGACTTCACAGCAAGAGGACCGTGACTAAGACACTTTGAGTTAAGTGAGTTATCGTCCCTCTACCTCTGCTAAGCTTGTCCCAGCACAGAGAGCATTGTCTGTGCTGTCTTGTGAAAGGACATACAGGGGCAGGGAGGTGGGACACAAAGACACAGGTTCATGCACACAGTGCCGCTCTAATGAGTGCCTGAAACCCTTTGCTTCAGAGACGTGAACTGAACGGATCACCTGTGGAGTCAGGTAGACGTTCGTGCGTAGATGGCGGAAGCTGTGTTCACTTAGCAGAGTGTTTCCTTTTCCATCCCGGCCGCTGTGATAAAACACTGGCCAAAGGCGACTGCGAAGGAAATCGTTTATTTCCGCTTACTGGTCACCGCCCTAGAGCCACCAAGGAGCTTGGAGCAGAAGCCACGCCATGTAGAGCTGTGTCACCTGTCACTTGCTGCTTTGCTTCCAGGCGCACGCCCATCTGCCCTTCTTTTGTTTTTATAAACAAATGTATTTGTTTCTGTTATTATCTGTTGTTACTTGAAGGGGTAAGCGCCCATGAGCACGGGTCCCCTTAGGGACAGAGGTGATGCTGATTCCCCTGGAGCTGGAGTTGCAGGGGGTTGGAAGAGCCTGATGTGGGTGCTGGGAACCAACTGAGGTCCTATGGAAGCCACTGAGCCATCTCTCCAGCCTCTGACTGCCTTTCGCATACAGCCCGGGTTAACCTGCCCACAAATGTCCCCAGAGGCCACTCCCACCAAGGCACATTGCCAGTCAAAGTTCCCTTTTCCCAAAGCATGTCAGATCGGCAACAAAACCAACCAGGGCAGACTCATGCATGTCTGTCTCACAAAGAATGTTTTTCCCCCTGAATCTGTGTCTTTGTCTGTTCCCAAAAAGCCATGGAGCTTTGTTTCCAAGGGGTCTGTTCAGTCATTATCTACCTTATGCAGATGCCTGCATTCCAGGCTGTAGGCCAAAGGCTGAGGCTACAGAGGTGAATAAAACCAGGCACAGCAGGCGGGGTGGCCCTCTTTCAGGGACCACTCACACAGGGCAGTGTGTAAGGATAGGTGACAAGTGCGGGCATGGGGTGTCGGAAAGACTTCCCGAGAGTCACTCAGTCCAAAGGCACAGCGGCCATAGCAAAGACTCCAGCAGGCTTGTTGGAGAGTGCGGGGCGGGTAGAGACAAAACAAGGAACAGACGCGTTGCAGGGGGAAATTTTATTTTAAGGCACCACAGAGTGCGTCTAAAACTTGGCTATCCCTGTGTATGTATAATGTGTACATATGCGATGCGTGTACCCCACAGTGGAGGTCAGAGGAAAACTTGGTGGAGTCCAACTCAGGTCACCCGGCTTGGACAGCAAGGGTTTGGTCCGCCTAGCTGGCTCTCCAGCCTTGTTTGTAAAATTTGAAACACAGCAGAGGTTGTCGGTGCCCTGCTCTTTACCCCCTTGGCTTTTCAATGCCTTTGGCTCTGGGCCAACCACCGATATTTGCATCTTCGGCCTGAGGGCTTTTCCCAGAATCGAGAGCCAATCTGGCTACTTACCTCGCAAAAACGCAAACACCAGGGTTGGGCCAGCCCTCAGAAACTGCCCTCTGCCAGTGACCCTCGGAAGTCCCCTAGCTTGCTTTGCAGGACAATTCTCAGGCCAGTGTTTGCCTGCTGCTGGCATTTCCCCCTAAGGTAGGCACCGGTCTCTCTGTGGCTGCCGGCTGAATAATGTGCTTTTTATTGGCAGGCTGCCTGCCTCCCCGGGTCATTTTCATGCTCTAGCACTAATGTCCACGGCGGAGTCTAAATGGCCTTCTGTGCTCCAGTCATATTCCAGAGTCTGCTCTGGGCGCCCAAATCACAAGGACAAAAGCTACTCGTAGAAAGGAATCCTTAGCTTCAGATGCCATTTCTAAAAAGATAGCACGTTTATTTGCACGCGTGGGTCCCTGTGAATGTGTGTACACGTGTGCACCTGTGTGGGGTGTGTGCTTCGGGACTTGCATTTTCTCTGACAGCCGGAGGCCCCCCACAAGCTGTACACCGTCAACAGCTCCTCCTCCATTAGGGTGAGCTCATGCACGCTCACCCCCATGCTGGAACCACGGCCATCCAGCCAAGAGCAGAAGACACGGCCCTCACCCCCTGGGATCCTGTCCTCAACAACCTCTGACGTTAAAGCATTTCTGCCACCTTTACGTTTGCATTTCCTCTGGGATGACCCCTGAGTTCGGGGAGAAAGAATGTGATACAGATGTTCCGTTTGGAGTTGGGTGTCTTGTTCTCTGTGGTCTGTGAGCTGTAAGTTTCTGCTTGGCTGCTGCCCACTAGACAAAGATCTGAGAGCTACACTAAGCAGCCTAGGGATGCAGTTCATCATTTTGCCATTTAGCAAAGCAACAGTAGCAGGCTCATCCCTGGGGGCTGCGGGCCAGCCCCTCAGCCACAGGCTCCCGAGGGAATGTGACAGCAGCGGGCCTGCATTTCTCCCTGTGCTCGCCTTAAACCCAACCAGAAAGTGACTGGTTGACCCCCATCACGCGTGTGTGTGTCACTGCCGCGCCGTCGGGCATAGCTTGTCACACTGGCCAACTGTATAGCTCACAGGGTTCACACCTGGGTAAGACTAATGC